ACTTGATTGACTTGATTGTTTGGACAGCAGACAAATTGAACTACATTAATATGCATGTGTATTTTTTTTTCATGCAAAAATCATGCAAAAAAAGAAACAAACAGAAAGCAAGATAAATAATGTAAAAAGATAATGCACTTCCAATTAATCGGTGCTGCGTATTTACACACACGATTTCTCAAAGCTACAGTTCCATATTTAAAATCAATGGACAAGCAGATGGACTTCAGTTTCAATTGTGTCTATTCATTTAGTTTTGTTTGGAGAGCTCTCTATCATTTCAGAGTCTGCCTTCTGCACAGATTTCTGTCTGTCTGTGCAGGAAGTGCACAGGCAGTTTAGAGGAAACATTGCTTAGCACTCACTGACCAGGTCAGTTCATTTTAAGCCTTCTTAACAATCTGTGAAAGTGCCAGATGATCTCGGCTTTGGTCTTGTAACACTGGAGGCACTGATCTAAACACCACCTGCCCATTATAGCCCTTGTGGGCTGCAAGCCCATGCTCGCCCATCTAAAAAAAAAAACCTTAACACAATCTCTCCTCTCCAGTCACAACCCAGTCCAGTCTGCCCCTCGGCTGCTTTCCTACAGATGCCGTATGATTAATGAGCCGTATAGGGATTGGGTCTTGATTGAGGGTCAGTATTGTTGTGCCACATCAGCGCTGCTCTTTTAGAGTCAGTTTTCAGGGGGCTCTTTCATGCTGTCAGATCCTGTGATGTCTTCTGCTCTAGGTGAAGTGGGTAACGTCTCCCTCGCTCTGAAGAAAGTGCGACTCTGGGTTTGGAATTTAACTGGGCCCTGACATTGTGGGAGTCTCCTCTCCCGAACTGGCAGGGGATCTGAGGGTGTGAAAGAAAGCCCTAGAACAGTCTCCAGTGGCAACCGTCCAGAATTCTTCCCGCAGCAAAAACATTCCGTAGCTTTAGTGGGTAAATGCTTTGACTGTATCACCACACAGAGACTCACATATTGAAACTGTAGACAGGATAGGATTCGGTTGTCTCCAAGACATGGTTCATCTTCATCATGACAAAGAGGTCTTAAGTTCAAAATTGAAAGCTCATGCAAGTGTTTTAGACCAGCAGCTCATTTGATCCTGTACTTTTTACTTTCCGAATACTAGGGCTGAGTGACACAGCAAAAAAAAAAGATAGATAGATAGATAGATAGATAGATAGATAGATAGATTTTCAGTTTTTTAGGTAGGTATAACATTAATTTCTAGGTACATAAATTGAATAAAGTAATCAAATGTAAAATAGCATTGCATATTTGACTATATAAATTGAAGATTAATCCTTATTAAAGTTACAAAAGCTATTTAATCAAAAGCAGTGAGTGATTTCCTTGTCTTTTGTTGTTTGATTAACATTAAAAACACAGACAGCAGGTAAATAGCCTGCTGTAACTTTAAGACAATGCATGGATCCAGTACACTGATACTGTATGTTCAACCGACTATATCTGCTAGGATACTCACCAAGACGGGCATGTTGACATAATTTTTGTGTGAATTTGTCCATTCAAGCACAAGACTTGAAAGAGAATGACTGGTCATATTCGAGCATACGGCACTTGCATTGTTTACAAAGAGTTTATAAAGAGTG